CCACCCAAATCCCAATGTCTGCAGAACAAACTTAGCCGAGTTGAACTCATCCCTGGTATCTCTAGCTGCCATCACAGCAAAACTCAAGGCCTGTCTCTCTAACAGGTATTTAACCAGCCCAAGGACGAAGATGCCAACCCATCCACTTCCCTCACAGCAAGCATAGAGCAGGGACACAATCAACCACCCCAGGGCACTAACTGTCCTCTCTCACACCCCCATTCCAAGGAGCTGATCCTCTATAAACTCCCCCACTGCCACCTCTTCAGCCCCTGCCCAGACCAGTTTTCAGGGCACTGCTACCTCAAAGCCGAGTTTTGGCCATCAATGGTTTTGTACAGAATAAAACACAACTGCCATTTCTTGCAGACAGGTCTCCTAATCCTCCTGAAGGGAAGTGAAATGCCATCCTCTAAGTTCCTCAGCCTTCCCTCCATTTAGTGTAGCCCTGCTCAGGTATAAATTCTGAGCTTCCAGCTTGGAGTCCCCACACCCTTACTACCTGCTGGACTGAAGCTGGTGGATGGCTAAGGGAAGTTGCTGGGTACTGGGTGCTGCTGTTGTGCATTATACAGACATCTAACCCTAAATTACTGTCCTGGATCAGCACCGCCCTTCACCAATCCTACTCAAGGACCTTCTCCCTCTCCCCTTCTGGCTTCCACTTGTGACAAACGCCAAGAGAACACGTTGGGGCACTGTGGCCCCCTTACCACAAAGCCGGCTCCCTGTAAAGAGTGGCACCCCAGGCCTCCTTTCCAGTCAAGCCTGGGAGACTTTCTCCATTTCTGCACACCCACCCGCTCCTTCAGGCAAAGAAGGCCTCACCCCCAGAGCAACCACGCCCGGCTCCACCCTCCCCAACACCTAGCTTGGCTACTTGGAAATCCATGGGTGTCTCCCAGGCCCAGGGCAAGGGGCCTGACTGAGCTAAACAAACTCAAAGAGGAAAAACAAACCGGCCAAAACTCCTGGCCGCCCTCACCCCCAATTTCCCCAAACACCCACCAGGACCAAGGGCCGGCGGGCCTGGGAAGTCCCCTCCCTCTCTGGGACACAGGCGCCAGCGGCCGGCCAAGCAAGTTCCAGCGGCCAAGCAAGTCGTTAAGACCCAAGGAAAGCGGGGCGATGTCTTAGCTCTATTCGATGGTGGGGTGGGTGGGGGCCGAACGCAGCGCCCTCTGTGTCGGCGGGGAGGGTCGGAGGGGCCCAGCGCTACAGAACTGGGACCGCCCCAAAGCTCCCTGGAGGGAGGGCGACAGGCACCCAGCCCTAGTGGGTATCCCCAAACAAGCAAATGTCCCCAAGCAAGCTCTCCCACCCCACGCCCCGACTCCCCAAACTCTGGAGCGGATCCTTCCCTACCTGCGGGCGTGTCTCCCCCGGTCAAACTAGTCTCCAGAAGCTGGCGTCCCCGCCTTTCCTCAATCCGGCTACCAGAAGCGGAGGTCCCCCCGAACTCAGTCCGCGGCTAAGGTCACCCCGTCGCCACCGCGCTCCTCGACGGCTCGGTCAAGGGGCGCCAGGCTCTGCGCAGTAGGGACCGCGGGTTCCTCTTGCAAGCCCACGCAGCCCTCACCTGCCCGGCCCAGGTGCGCGCGCTCACGTCAGCGCCTCGCCCCAGGACGCCGCTGCCCTCTCCGCCGTGCGGCCACGCCTCCCAGGTGTGGCCACGCCCTCCGGCGGCGGGGATTGGCGAGTGCGAGAAATTTGATACTCGGCGTTCCAGGGCGGCCGGCCCCGCCCAGCCTTTTCCCCACCCTCCTCCCCCGTTTCTAGCCCGGCTAAGAAAAGTCCCAGGCTCAGGCCTAGCCCTTACTCCTCAGGGCTGGTGGTCCTGGGAACTGGAAGCGAGGGGGAGGTCAGATCTCAGTCGAGAGGGTGCCTCCCCTCTCTCACGCCCCATAACTACCCTGAGGTAGCCTAGCCCTTACTCCTCAGGGCTGGTGGTCCTGGGAACTGGAAGCGAGGGGGAGGTCAGATGTCAGTCGAGAGGGTGCCTCCCCTCTCTCACGCCCCATAACTACCCTGAGGTTTGGAGACGATTATGCTCAAATAAGGGTTTTGAGATTCCGGGCTGGCCCTGCTACCCGTGGGCCGGTGTAAGTAGGGTTGGATAGGGGAAAGGGACTCAGGACACTCGGTCCTGTCTGAGCGTAGCCATGTGGCTTTCAGGACTGGGAATTTGCCTTTACTCTGCCTCTCACCCGTGTGACCCTGGATAGGTTACTTCGCTTCTTGGTTCAGTTTCCTCATCTATTCAGTCAGAATAATCATTCCTGTCGTTTCTAGTCACTGTGGTGCCATAATTAAAAGCATAGCCTCTGGAGCCAACGACTGTACTGAGTACTGTAGGCAATTGTAACACAATGGTAAGTATGTGTGTCTCTAAACATGGATAGAAAAGGTACAGTAAAAATACTCATGGTATAAAAGATAAAATATGGTGTATCTGTATAGGGCACTTACCATGAATGGAGTTGCAGGACTGGACGTTGCTCTGGGTGAGCCAGTGAGTGAGTGAGCGTGAAGGCCTAGGACATGACTATGCACTACTGTAGACTTTATACACACTGCACACTTAGGCTGCACTAAATTTGTAAAAAAAGAAAAATCTCTTTCTTCAATGATAAATTAATCTTAGTTTACTGTAACTTTTTTACTCTATATCCTTTTTCCTTTTAACTTTTTTATGCTTTTACAATTACACTTAGCTTAAAACAGAAACACATTATACAGCTGTGCAAAGTGTTTTCTTTATGTCTTTATTCTATAAACTTTTTTATATTTTTAAAATTTTTAGTTGTCTTTTTTATTTTTTTACTTTAAAAACTGAGACACAGCAGACACATTCACCTAGGCCTGCAAGGGTCAGGGTGATCAATTGATCTTCCACCTGCACATCTTGTCCCACTGGAAAGTCTTTAGGGGCATGACACACACAGAGCTATCGTCTATGATAACAATGCCTTCTTCTGGAACATCTCCTGAAGGACCTGCCAAAGAGGAAGTGTCACTCTTTTCAGAAATATGCCCCTGGTGGTTTGCTTGGTTTGTTTCTTTTGTTCACCATGGATTTGAATGTAAGCAAATAATGAACATGAACATTCTTCTCTATTAATGAAAACTTTTTGGTATTGGGGTTCATGTTTTCAAACTTTTTTTTAAGCTAGTCAAGTGAAGCAGTAGGAGTGGAGAAGAAAATAATCTGTAACTGGTTGTGATCAATTAGTTGTAAACACCATTGCACTCGGACACCCCATGTTTTCAAACTTTTTAAGGAGCTTGCTGAGCTCTGCAAAAAACTTCTGCTAAATCCTTCACTGTGAATTTTCTAGGAGTTTATTCATCTTCTTCTGTAGTTTCCTTTTCTCTTGCCTCTTATTCAACTATGCATTCCTGTTCCAATTCTCACAACTCCTCATTGGCGAATTCCGTCAATTCCTCAGAAACCACCTCTAGGAGCTCCTCAATGTCATCCTCATATGCATGTCACTAGACAATAGGAATTTTTCAGCTCCATCATAATCTTATGGGACCACCATTGCATATGCAGTCCATTGATGACCAAAACATCGTTATGTGGCACATGACTATACTACATATAAAGTGCTTAGAACAGTGTTTGGCACTTATCAAGTGCTACATATGTATTTGAAGTTATCACTGGTGTAAGGATAAAAACTACCGTACAGACAGTGCCTCACAGAACAAGAGGTCATCTTTGGTCATTACCTGAAATTCAAGTCCTGTGTATTCCCTAACATGTGCTTAATGAGAGTTCACTGACCTTCCCTGTTCATATAGAGGACATGCTTACAGGGAGCTGTGCACCAGTGAGACAAATCCATGCCCCCACCGCCACCCCCCTGTACCCTGCCCTTCCCCTCCCCCCGCCCCAAGCTCTGAGGTGTCCCAGGTGAGATGAGCATGAGCAAGGCACTTAGGTTTTGGTGTTTAAAATAAAAAATGAGAGACCACGGAGAGGTGATGTTATGGATTGAGTTTTGAATTGTGTCCCCCCATCCCCCCGCCCCAAGCTCTGAGGTGTCCCAGGTGAGATGAGTATGAGCAAGGCACTTAGGTTTTGGTGTTTAAAATAAAAAATGAGAGACCATGGAGAGGTGATGTTATGGATTGAGTTTTGAATTGTGTCCCCCCAAAAATTTATATGTTGAAGTCTTAACCCCCACAATCTCAGAGTGTGACCTTATTTAGAGAGAGGATCTTTACAGAGGTAATCAAGTTAAAGTGAGGTCATTAAGGTGGGCCCAAATTTAATATGACTTGTGTCCTTGTAAAAGAAAGGACACATTTGAACACAGAGATAGACATGCACAAAGGGAGGATGATGAAGAGAGATTCCGGGAGAGGATGGCTATCTACAGGCCAAGGAGAGAGGCCTGGAATAGATCCTTCCTCCACAGCCCTCAGACACCTTGATTCGGGACTTCTAGAACTATGAGACAATAAATTTCTGTTGTTTAAGCCACCCAGTCTGTGGTAGTTTGTTCTGGCAGCCCTAGCATACAATACGAGTGTGTTGCAGAGCCCCAGATTAGTAATAATGTGGACTTGATTCCTGGTCCCAATTTAGCTTTAGGGTGCAGCCAGAAAAGGCCTGGGAAGGCAGCAAGGCCCTGAGGCCTGACTCAGCCAGCCTCTGTCTCAACCACTGCCCTGTGGCCTCTCTTCCCTTCCATGAGGACTAGCTCATGAGGGCAGCCAGCTCTTGACTGCTAAATGAGCTCGCCGGACAAGCAGCATCTTCCATCTGGCCCAGAGCTGGGCTCCTGAGACCAAGCAAACCATCCTACAGACCACCAGTAGACTGTCCTTTGGGAGCCAAAAGCCCAATGGCATACAGGGATGAGCCCTCACACAGGCACTCACTTTTGCACTAGCTGAAATTCCCATGATGAAGGTGATTGTCCTTAAGGATTGTTGTTGTTGTTTTTTTTTAGGGTTCAGTTTTTTATTTGATGTGTTACAAAAGAGGTTTAATCAAAAAGATCAAAACCCATGTCATCATCAGACTCCTCAGATTCTTCTTTCTTTGCTCCTACTTTCTTCTCAGCTGAGGCAGCCGTGATAGAAAGGCCAGGACCTCCTGCTGGTGCTACACCAGCTGCTGGAGCAGGTCCACCAACCCCTATGTTGCAGATGAGGCTCCCAAGGTTGACACTGGCCAGGGCCTTTGCAAACAAGCCAGGTCAGAAAGTTTCAACATTTACACCAGCTGCTTTAATGAGAGCATTGATCCTCCATGAGGGTCGCCTCGTCATCATGCAGAATGAGAGCCAAATAGATGCAGGCAAGCTCAGAGACAGAGCCCATGGTGCAGGCTAGTGCAGGGCTGGCACTTCCAGGTGCTGTGCTAGTCACCAGATGAAGTGAGGGCCTCACCACAGCGCAGTCTTAGCTTCCTCCAAAGGACCGAGCACCTTGGCAGCAGCTGAGGAAAGGGGGCAGGATCTTCTTTAGGAGACACGTGTTTAACAGTCAGAACATTCAAGCTGGGGGTGTCTTGTTAGATTCTTTAGTCCAGGGATAAAACTGAATTAGATATGTTTGTTTGATCCACACAGTATTTTGAAAACCAGGAGATTTCACATAAACATCCAGATTCTCTTAAAAAGTCAAGAGCACTGGACACCATGGCCAACAGTTCCACCTGGCAACAGCTGTCCAGTTAGAGGGAGTCCACATGTTAGTCAGGACAAACCCACCCTATTGGGCTCACTCATTTACTTTATTTATTTATTTAGTTTTATTTTTTATTTTTTTAAAAGATGACTGGTAAGGGGATCTTAACACTTGACTTGGTGTTATCAGCCCCACACTCTCCCGAGTGAGCCACAGGTTGGCCCTCACCCATTTACTTTAATTGCCTAACCCTGTAGGCATCTGAGTTTGCAACCACTAGTCCAAATTCCCCCTTTTTCACAGATGAGAAAACCGAGGCCCAGAGAGATCAAGCAATTTGCTCAAGGTCACATAGCAAATTAGCCACAAAGCCGAGACTAGGACCCAAGCCCAGAGCTCTTTCCATTTGAACCCTTCCCAGTACCCCAGTCAGAGTCTATTCCTACTGGTGCTACGTGGGTCATTAAATATATATTCTTAAAAACCACCCATGGATCTAGGCACTGTTGATATTACAGGGAACAAAAAAAAGTTCCAACTCTTGTGTCACTCTACTGAAGAATCAAAGAGGGGATAAAGCAGGAGGAATTAAGGTGGAAATCAGGGGGAACTTCCTCGCTCTTCAAGTGACGAGCCCTGGCAATACACATGCTGAAGTCTTCTTTGCTTGAGACACACCTCATCTGCTTGGCCTGAGGAATAAGAACACCTCATGAACTCTTGTAAAGACTCTAGAGGAATCAGTTCCTCTGTATTCTCAAAAGAGCCCCTTTGGGATTTAGGCATCCCCAGTGTGGCTTGGACCTGACATGTTCCCATCGTTTTTGGCCTCCGCCACTACTCAGGTGGAGCTTTGCTGACTCACTTGTGAGTCTGAGTTTCAGGCAGTGGGATGTACATCTCAGCACAGGGGCCCTGATTCACAGCCACAGAGACAGGGAATTCCCCTTTTCTGCTCCCAGCCAGCTCTTACTTAGTGGGGAGGAGTCTTTTTCACCACCCAGAGACTTTAACCTCTGCAATATCAGACCTGTGACAACAAAGCCATTAGACCCAAAGCCCACTCTCTTGGTAAAGCAGAGGGCGTAGCAACCGGGAATGTTTGCAAAGGCTCAGTACAGTGGAGAATTTAGTCTTACTGCAGTCAGTGATAACAAATAACCTCTGAGGCTGGACTGCCCTTTGGTGGGGTTGCTGAAGATGGGGAGGGAACGTCAAGCTAACCACTCCAATTCTGTGCTCTCTCAAAGGAACTCAGACCCCAACCAGCCTTCTAAAAGGCATTCTGGAGCCTGTCAGGTCTATCCCGAATCCTTTCTTAACCTTGGTTCATCTCTGGCTCCATCAAGTATTCAAGGTCCCAGAGCTGCGGATGAGCCTCATGCATCGCCTGAGCCACAGCCTGCACTGTAAAGCACATTGGTTGTTACTTGCTTACTCTCCTTCCCTCCGTTCTTTACCCTCTGTGGATTGCCTCCTAGAATATGCTCCAAATCCCAGAATCATCAAGGTGGCAGGGAGCTGCAGTAGGCTGGCAACAGCAATAAATACACAAATGAATCCCGTTTTCCAACCCAGGCAACGCCTCCTAGAATATGCTCCAAATCCCAGAATCATCAAGGTGGCAGGGAGCTGCAGTAGGCTGACAACAGCAATAAATACACAAATGAATCCCGTTTTCCAACCCAGGCAACGGAACAGACTTTGGCTTGGGACTCTGAGAGAATTCTTCACTAAAAGGTTCAGAGAGACATTGGTAAAGGGTCACAAAAATGAATACATTTGAAATGACAAATGTGATAATTATCCTGATTTGAGCATCACATATCGAACACAGGTATTGCTACCTGATGCTGTACCCCACAGATAAGTACAATCAATTATATTTCAATAAAAAGAAAAACTTAAAAAATTAAAATTAAAAAAGAAATAGGAGGACATTTTGTAGAAATAAAAATAAATAAAGTGTTCAGAGTTATTCATTTCTGACTCTCTTTTTATCCTTGAACCCAGCTGAGCCCTCGTAAGGGATCTCAAAAAAGTAGCCTTCTTTATTCCAAACTCAGATCTACGTGGGAGGAGGAGGAGGAAAAACAAGGCCCAGTAAGTCACTTGGAAGCAAGCTCCCCCCGGGGCCCTGTCTTCATTTTTCCTCCCCTCCAGTGTAAATCTGAGAGTCCATGTCCCATCTCCCCCTGGCATGGGGAGCTTCCATGGGCTCTGCAGACGAAAGAGCCAAACAAGAAACTATGACTACCCTGAAGGTGAGGGTTCATATTTCTGATTTCAAATGTACTGTCCTGTTAGGACAGCAGTGACCTGATTTTAGCTTCATGGTCATCAGCGAACAACCTATCCTGTGATGATACACTGTGTCGAAATGAGAGAGTGGATGGACGCTCTCTGAATTTGATGGAGTGCCGTGTGGACGGGAGCAACTGTTCCTGCTATGATCTGCTCTTTGTTTCCTCTGTGTAAATCATTCTCTCCATGCCTGGGTCAAGTCCTTGAGGGCAGCAAGGCGCAAGCCAGGCAGGAACTCTTGCAAGCCAGGAGATCCTGGCACGGTGCTGGTCTCAGTCTGAGCTAAAGGAGTACTAGACAACTTGTTGACTTCAGAAAAATATGGAATCCTTGGGAGACGTGTGGCAAGAAGCTGGGCTTCTGTTCAATATGAATGATTGGCCACATGTGTTATCTCATCTCCCTCCCCAGACCACCCCAGTATGACGACAATGAAGCAATTACGAGAGAGACAGAGAGAAAATAATGCACAAGGTTAAAAGAGTAAAAAAAGCATGGGAGGGGAGGTAAGAGTGGATGAGAGATTTCAACAAAAATGTTAGGAGAAAAAATATTATTTCAACACAAGTAGGGCGTGGGGAGGGCTGATGTTTTAGCTGCAAAGCTTTCAGTACTATTTGATTTTTAATAAAGATCTACATAATATTTAACAAAAATATTGTCGTTACTTTTTTTCTAAAAAAGAAGAACTAGTTCTTAGGGATTTGGGAGACTGAGTGTCAGACCTTTCTCTGGCACTTAGTGACAGCAGAGCGTGTCACTATTGCTGTCTGAGCCAGAGCTTCTTCATGCGAAGGTGCTGAGCAAATTTCACAATTGCCTTCTGGCCCTAACAATGCCTAGCTCTGTGATTAAATTCTAGAGGCAGCACTGAGGTCCTCAGAAAAACAGACAGTGCTTTGGAATAACTCAAAACTTGTCTCCAGTTTCCCTTCTCTCACTTCCCACTTGTATGAGCTGTCTGAGCCTCAGTTTACTCACCTCCTAAATGAGAATGCTGCCTATTTCACAGGATTGACAAGAGAATCCAATGAAATAAATAAAACAATAACACATCTCAGAAAATGTTTTTCTCCAGTGCTGCCTCCTCCTCCCATCTGTACAAGGATCTGGCACAGTTCTGGGCACTCAGTATTCACTTAAAAGCCTACGGCATTAAGAAATGTGTTACTGGGGCCGGCCCGTGGCTCACTCGGGAGAGTGCGGTGCTGATAACACCAAGGCCCCGGGTTCGGATCCCTACATAGGGATGGCCGGTTAGCTCAGTGGGTGAGCATGGTGCTGACACCACCAAGTCAAGGGTTAAGATCCCCTTACCGGTCATCTTTTAAAAAAAAAAAAAAAGAAAGAAAGAAATGTGTTACTGTACATTTATTCTCGGGACAGGGAGGATGTGAAGCATCTCATCTCTGTTGATTGGATTAGGAGCGAGGCCCAGGTGTGGGACTCAGTGCCTAGTGAGCACTTCCCTTGAGGAGACATGGCTGATGAAAGGACAGAGAAGGGAGGCTACCAACAAGAGCAAGTAGCAGCCACACCTCTTCACCCCTCCACTGTAGAAACTTTCTCTTAATGTAGTCCACTACCCAGCCTCAACCTAGACCGGCCTCCTATGGTTCTGTGGAAGAGCTCGTGATGGTGTCCACAGGGATTTCCACTCTCTTGTGTGGCTCTGGACCAGCCAGGGAAGGCCTACAGACTACCTTTCATGCTAATTTCGCCACATTGCCTAAAACTTTATTGCATAGCATTCAAAAAGGTCATTTGATCTGGTCCCTGTCCCTAGACACTGACAGCCAGAACCCTACCTCCTTTCCTACAGCTTGAATCCCAATCTCAAGCTAAGCTGAAGCCTAAAACATGACTAGATGGTATGGGGGGTTACACCAGTCAAGGAAGGAAGGGGAGATGTATATACAAACACAGGAGCTCAGCATTGATCTCGTGTAACCCCTGGCCTGGAGAAGCCCAGAGTCAAGAGCAAACGGGGTTTAGGTCTTTCTAGGATAGACCCAGAGTAGAGACCTCGTTCCACCTCACATGAGACACAGCATCCCTTCTTCATTCCTCATTCAGCAAATATTGAGCATCTACTGTACACCAGACAAAATCTCTGCCCTTTTGAAACGTACTACCTCCCACTGTCTCCTTCTATTCCTACCAAAGCCCTCTGTTTAAACTTTTACTTATTTCCACTGTTGTGACCATCTCCTAATCCCTAGCTTCCAGCCCCACTCCAATCTATTCTACAGCCCTCTGTGAGCTCCGATCCCATCACTCTCCTGCTCAAAAACATTCCATGATCTCCTAATGTTTATTGAATTGAGAAACTTTACTTGTCCGACAAATGTTTATTGTATATCTCAGGCTCTTTTCTAGGTGCTGGG